TTTTTTTTTTTTTTTTTTTTGCAATGGAAATAAATTTCATCCCTAATACCAATAAAATCTATCAATTAATTGACAATTTTCATGTAAAACAAAGTCACACGAACCCCAAAAGACACTTTTATTTCAACATATTCCACGTGAAAAATTAAACCAATCAAACACAATAATTTACAATTCCCAGGAAAATAATTTCTTCAATTTCCTGAAATTCGTTTTCAATTCAATTCAATTTCATCTTTGCAATCAAATGGATCATAATTGATAATTTTCAATAAAACAAGTTCTAGATAATTCAATTTCTTGAAATTCGTTTTCTTTCCATCCAAATTTCATTTTTACAATTAAACGGACCTAAATGATAAGATCAATTGCATGATTCTCATATCCACGTATTCAATTGGTCTTATCATTTTCATGTGACTTGTCAGTAGTCACATTACATGGAAATGATCTGCACCATAAACAAATAGCATTCTTCAAAAGAAAAGACACTTTCCATTAACACTAAATAAACTATTTTATTTTCTTCACATCCTAGACTGTATGGATATTTACATTCATCAGATCCACAGAATCTGCACCATAGTGCACCGTGGCTATATAAGTAAACTCCTCTGCGTACAGTCCTTGGCCTTCTGTATAATGGGACCAATGTCGACTACAATTACCCATTGAAGCTCAGAACTACTGCGACTGAAAGTCTCATTGTCCTTGCCAATGTCAAAAATTTCACAAGCCATTATTATTTGAAATAATAAACATTAATGACTATCTAAACAAATCATGGGGAAAAAATATGGAGTTCATGTGCTGATGTGCAACTGTAAGTAGCATGAATCATGGATGTAATTGATGTCATCTTTCCTCTCTAATATTCTGGGCCCCTACCAAAATTATCACGATAGTACCTTGACATGATATAAGTAATAACCAGTAACACTCACCAATGAGCGTAACAGTGATTAAGTCCTTAAATTCTAGTTTTAGTTTTTTGTCATATGTCCACGTTCTTTTTGATATTGTAGCTCTTGTAGTTGTAGCAGAAGTAAATCGTGGTTCGTGTCATTTTTGTACCTAGACGAGCTAGGTAACATGGTGACCCACAAGTTTGTTCCATAGCTTCTCGTGTTAGACCCGGAGGGATTGTAATAAAGGATATTAATGACACAATATGTAGTAATAAAGACCACAACAAGAAATAAGATTGAAAGTAAAGAAGAACAAATAAAGTTAATCGCAAATGGACGATATAAATTAACTGACAATATGGAAAGAAATTACAAATACAGCAATAATGCTTAAACGAAACTGACAAAGAAGCCTTGTATTTATAGGCCACGTTCCAAACTCTAGAAGAGTCTTAAAAAGTAAGAAAATATGTTAAAATTGGGTTGCAATTGGGCATAAAACTTCGACCGAAAGAGGATTTCCTTTCCTTGTTCAACTTGGATAAAATCTTCCTCTCCAAGTAAAGATCAATACGCAATCTCACAAGATTCTTAACCATATTTGAGTCACAAAACCTAACAATTTGGTATCAAAGCCCAATTTATAAATAAGTCTTCAGCCCAACAATCACGGAGATACTTGTTTGTGTGAAGGGGAGACGGGTTTGGTCTCCCGTAGGCTCGATTGTGTGAGGAAGAGACGAGTTTAGTTTCTTGCAGGGCTCAATGTGTGGGAGGAGACGTGTTTGGTCTCCCGCAAGGCTCGATGTATGAGGGGGAGATTATTAAGGTTGTCCTGCATCGGTTGTAGATGTGGTTAGCATTCAGTTTATAAGTGTGAGAAAAATTCTTATCTCTTGAACTAGCTTTGGGGTGAGAGAGGCTCAATGCCACCCATCTCCTTGAGTAGCTTTAACTGGATTGATTGTATCCAGATGTTCATGGTGGCTTAATTCGATAGTTTTGCTGTTTTGGTGTTATAAAAAAATATAATAAGTAAATAAAAAAGATCAGTAACAATTGTTATGGTGACATTGGTGCCTCGTTAAATATACTTTTGGGATAACTTATGGTACCTTGTAATACATGATAGTGGAGCAATTATAATCTCTCTCTTTACAATAATGGTGTTGTATAATAACTAATTAGTCCTTGTGACACTAGTTTCACTTTAGTTGTTGACCATCTGGGTGCAAATTTAGACCGTAATTTATGCATCCTATGATATATGATCAAGCTCTTTGATTCTTATTTTCACTTTCTTTGCCATGATAGCACGTGAATGATACTTTGAGATGTACAACAATTAAATCACATTCAATACATACTCTTAAATTTACTCTTGACAACCATGCGGTATAACTTAACCACTATTTATTTTGTAATCAAATTATGAAGCACGAGATCACAAGGTAAAATTTCAACAATAAGCATTGAATAAAATCAACTATTTGATCGCACTAGCATGTCTTGACATTTTAATCATATAGACTTCATTTACTTTGGCCAAACAAAAACAAATTTATATATTTCACTCACATAATTCTTGTTAAACATAATAACCGCATTATTTAACGCAAATTTTCATATGTTCTAATTCTAGGGTACGAGTACCAACTGCTTAAGTTGTAACTGTTATTGTGTTATGTTCTTTCTCAGGTAGACGTAAATTGTTCTATTTTAGTAAGGCTGGGGTTGTTATTCAAATGGGAATGTTCCTTGCCTAAAACAACAATGAATGTCGTCAATGGCTATTCAAAGTCTACTTATATTCTAATTCTAATTATATTTAAATATATTCATAATAAATATAATTTAAAATTTTTAAAATTTACTGTTCTTACAAATCTAAGAGAAAAGAGATAAAAACGCATGAATTAAGAAAGAATCAAAACTCTTATATTTTTGTTGTGAACCAAATTCTCATATTTATAGCCTATAATTAGGGTTGCACTAACACAATTGTCAATCTCAAATAGTACTGATTTATAGTGCTCCCTTTGAATAACTAATTACACAACATGTGTCTAGTTAAAAACTTTGTTTGACAAACACTCGGTGAGACAAGAAAGAAAATGGGGGGAAAAAAGGAAAGAGATTACAAAAATTTATGAAATGTTTCCTAGTTAAACTTTGTTAAGAATGTGGGGGGGGGGGGGGGAGGAAAGAGATTACAAAATTTTATGAAATGTTTCCTAGTTAAACTTTGTTAAGAAATCCCAATAAGGCATAGCATGAATGAAGGAAAAAGAATACAATT